TATATATATATATATATATATATATATATATATATATATATATATTCAGCAGGTTGACTAATAAAAAATTACTTTTCATACTTTTCAGGGTACCGTTCATGTAATTTGTCTTGAACAATTACAAGACACTTCTGTAATCCTTGAATATAATTTTTTCCTCAGTATTTTATCGTTTTTTAATTTTTTCGGCAGTTTTATTTTGGACAATACAAGCACTCAACTACTATCCCTATGTTCCATATTGTACAGGTACGTCTTCTTTAAGTATTACTATCATATTCTAGTTTTATTACGCATGATTTGTATGTTGTTTATTCTAGAGTCATTTTGATTTCCTGAAAATGACGTAAGGAAATTTTTCTTTTTAATATTGGGAATATCAATATTATTTTTCAAACTGAAAAACGCAGACTTTATTTTAACTTATTTCATTTTGGATTTGAATAGAAAATGTTTTGGACAACAGCAGTGATACACATGTGCAGCACAATTTTGAACTTCCTAATCTAAATTTTGAATTTATTTATGGTCATAAAATCAAATCTACAGTACATGAGAGAATAGTTGAGATGAAAAAATGAAAACTGTGAAGTAATGGCTAATGAGGAAAGTAAGTCCCTCAAAGCAGTGCATTATTTGATTGATAGACAAATTTATCCTTTAAAACAGCAGTATGAATTTAAGTTTGTGATCAAAACTTAAGATAAAGGAGAGAGAAAGAGGAAGCGAAATAAGAAGGAAACTGAAGGAAAAAGCTGTTACAAAAATGGAAATCATTTTGCTATTTTATCATATTTGCTCCACGCGAGTGAAACAAATAAAGCATGAAGTGATATTCTTCAATGATTTAGTCTTACCATGCTGTGGATAAAGCTTCCCTTTCAGAGGTGTTCAACGCTGAGATTACAAAATGCCTTGTGGTGGTCACGACAATCTTCTGGCTTGTTTTATAAATCTTTACGATGTCCTTGTCAAGAACCAGATAAAATCAGATGTCAGAATCTCAGATCATTGTATACAGCTGTACCAAAAATCAAGATACAAAGTTTTTCGTCTGATGTTGGATCTTCAAGGTAAATTAATTATTTTCCTTTTGCTATAAAACCTAGAAAGAAAATCGAATGATGAGCGAAAAATGTTCAGTTTTGATGAATAGTGTGTTTTGAAATTAATTTTTTGAGTGAGGATTATGTTCCAGGTGTCACATTACTGCCTTTCAGGAGTGCTAGAAAGAAGTCATCCGCTCGTGGCTTTGTGGTATTACTTTTGTTGACAGCTGCTGGAAGTGGTGCAGCTTATTATTGGTAACTTTATCTTCTTCTTCATTTGAGAGCTGATTTTGGGCATTTTTAACAAAAATGAAGAAATAACTTCATAATTTCGGTCGTCTAGTGATTTTATCCACTTTACTATTCCATATGAAAAACTGAATGTATGACTAAGTCAGTATTCTGGAACTTTTGAGTAGAAATCTAGATTAGTGATTATCGCCAACTAGTCTTGTTATTTCAGAGAATGTGGTTAATTTTTTTCATTTTTAATTTGTTTAATTTTATATAGCAACGTTGTTTAGGTATTTGGAGAATGAGAAAAAACATCTTGAGTTGGAAGCTAGTTCTTCACGTCATTTAGAAACGGTCACTACACCGGTACTAAGCCCTGTCGTGCGTGAAGAAAAAGTAAGCCAGGCAAAAGAAGAATCTGTTAACAAGAAAACAGAAAATGGAAGTTGGTGTTTTGTTACATTCATCTTTCAAAAAATGTCGTCCATCTTCAAGTAATTTTATCGGTTGGTAACCTCATTAGAGATTTTTTCTAAGTAAAATTTTTCACGATTTCATTCATTTCTATTTTTAATGGCGGTAACTTTTTACAACTAGTTATCTATTAGGTCCACTTCTTGTCAGATAATATATAGATTGTTAGTATTGTCAGATAATACATGGATTTTCAATCTCTTTCAGCCATGGAAAAGAGGCTCAAGGCATCTTTGCAGTCTGCGATTGAAAAAGTACATTCAGCAACGGAAGCGAAGTACACAACAGTCGACAGAATCAATGACCATACTCGTATTATGAAAAAGACCATTGACGAAGGGGAGGTAAACTTTGCTATAGAGAATTTGATAAATATCTAAGTAATGGTTTTTTGATATATGTTTCATTTTTAGAAAGGCGATTGGGTCCAAGTGACAAATGCACAAGAAAAAGTGGATGAAGCCATGAGTAATGATGCTAGACAAGAGAGAGATGCTAGGAACTACTTAGATAACGTTAAAAAGGTTAGTATTCGCAGTTTTATTTTTCACATTGAAATTGCTAATCTGTATAATGTTTGGCTTCAAATTGATAGTTTTTGTAGATAATTGAATTGGGAGAAGAAGATGAACTAACACGCAGTAGTCCGTTACTGCAAAATGCCCTTGAAACAGTTCATAAACTTGTGAGGCAGCTGGATGAAATGAATTTCGTCGTCAGAAAGACTCGTAATGAAGGACGTGTTTTAAGTGAATACAAAGATTTAATTGATAAAAGTCGTAAACAGTTTGCATCAGAATTGAAATCAGTTCTTCCTCACGTTGACATTCATGCTCAAGGTTGGCATTTTTGAATAACTTCGAGATTTATATTCGTTAAAAATTTCTGAAATCATATCTGCCACTTTTTACCTTGACTATTAACTTAATTGTGTTTTAACTTGTGGAATAGTTAATTATACAGATATGTGATGAAGAAGTTTTCTGTACATGAAAAACGATTTTTTGCTGTTCATAAATTTTGTAAGTGAAGAAAATTTTTAATGAGGTTGAGCTATAAATTTTTGCAATTACAGAATTAAAGCTCAACGAAGACGAATTAAATGCTTTAATTGCACATGCACATTTAAAAGTAGATCAGCTGAGGCAACAGCTTGCTGAACAGCAGGTAATGCCTTTTTGATATCGGTAGAAATTTCACATCATTTTTGTTCTGCAGTTTTTTTGTAATTTATCACCCAGGTTCGTGAAGAGCAGAACATTGCGCTGGCTCTAGAAGAGCAAAAGAAATCTCAAAGTAAGTTGAATGAGGAAGAAATCAATCTGAAAATCCAGAAACTTCGTGAAGAAATGCAGTCAGAGGCGGAAAAAAAGGTCGCTACTCATTTTCTTTTGTCTTTTATATAGGTCATTGCTTCTCACAATTGTTGCAGGTTTCAGAATGACTACAAAATTTTTAAGAAAAAATCAGACGCAGGTTTTTTCATTCTCGTAGGAAATTTTGGATGAATTCCTATGGTGTGTTGTTTATCTATTTAGTTATCTGGTTCACTGTTGTCATTCTTTTTCCATCAGTGAAGCTTGCATAATTTGTCATCGATTATATTTATCTTAGCTTCTCATTCAAAGAAAACTTTGGGATTCCGAGTTGGAAGAAAAGCTGCAGAGAGCATCTGCTGCTCATTCGCAGCATATTGAAGAAGTTGTGCGTGCACAAAGGAGTCTTTTTGACATTGAAGAGAAGCAGAAGGTTGGCTTTTATAAAAAGTTATTGTTTCAAAAATATATACAAGAGTCAAGGGTCAGAAGGTTTGTGACATATTTAAAGAAAAAGAGTCACAATTTATCTGGATTTATAGAAATTTTAGTATTTTTATTTTTATAGATAGAACAAGCTGTTTTGGAGGAGCGTTCTCATGTAAACGCAAATTTAGTTCTAGCACAAAAAAAATTAGAAGGGATCGAAGCTGCTCTGAAATCACGCTCTTCACAAGTCAGTTTTTAAATTACAACTGTATCTAGAAAATATCTACATGCAACTCGTTTACTTCATACATTTATTACGATCCGCGACTTTTTTTTGAAGGACTTTGTGTTCCTCCTGAAAAATAAGATAGCAAATTGTGCCAACATTGTACCATGATCCCTTTCAGTCATCATTATTTTTTATCTGATTAGCGAGTCATTAAAATACTGAAAGTTTTCTTGTTCAAGTATGTGAAATACGTCCAGCTTTGTATATGGAGAGTTTGACATAAATAGGTGTATCTTGGTGTCTTATATTGTTTGTGAATATTACTCAGTTAATGGAGATTAGTTTACTTTTATTTTAGTACTTCTCAGATTATATTTGAAGGATCTAAAGAATCGTCGTGCTAAATACATTTGGATAGCATCACAGGATATGGTCGATTCTGTAGTATATGGAATAAGAGGAGGTGCTGCTGATGAATCACGTAAAAAACCGTTAGCAACTGAGGTTTGAAAAACGAATTTTTTTTTTTGTTAAAATATGTCGTTCTACCTATCCTTCAATCTCGAATAAGATTTTTGTTGTAGCTTCATTCAATTAGAGAAGCGGATAAAAATGATGACTTCGTAGCATGTTTAATCGGTGCTCTCACAGATGATATAATATATAATGGCGTATTCACTGAAGAGGATTTGAAAGCGAGATTTAGTAAGGTAAAATTTTAAAATTAGCAATTCTGAATAAAAATGGAGTTTGTATTTTATGCTGTCTCGGTGCATTTTAAATCTACTGTCCGGACATTATTTTTTTCAGTTATACAAGATTTGTCGGCGAATTGCCAAGATGAACGACAATAATATGGGATTATTTCAGTACTGTTTATCATTCTTGCAAAATGCATTGTCTTTTGATTCGTCCGAGAAGTTTTCAAAAGCGGTAAATATATTTTCGAATAGTTATCTCCGGAAATTAGTTTTAACTTGGCGGTTTGATAAGGCAGTGTAATCCATCAACAAAAATTTTGATTTTTGATTGGCAATTGAGTTCACTACTTGCTACTCGCTTAACCACTTAGGCAGTAAATCATTATTCCATATTTTAAGACGTGAGTGAATGATTTAAACAACTGTTGAAAGGAGTAAAATCAAAATAAATTGAGGAAAGAATTCTTTATGTTGGTTTATGCATTCTAAGTGACATTTCCTTTTTATTATTCATTAATCACCATTAATATTTAACTTCGTTTGTACGATATGGAATACTTAAGATTTATATTTTGTATTCAGATAAAACGACGTTAAAGAAATTTTCTCTCTTTGTTTTAAAGCAAGATTTCAAATTTCACATTTTTTCAGGAAAAGTTTGATCCCGTTACTTTGGATTCGTATGAAATACTGGCCAGAACAAAAAGCCTTGTTAGAGAAGGTGACTTAAATTCAGCAGTACGAATGCTACAACTTTTGACAGGTCCAGCTAGATATGTAGCACGAGATTGGATAAATGATGCGCGAGCGCATCTTGAGGCGCGTTTCATTGCAGAAGTACTGATTTCACATGCAGCTATCAATAACTATTCATCTATTTATTAATTTAGTTTTCTGATTGGTAAAAGAATATATGCTGATTTTTCGGTGATCATTGGCATCATGATAAATTATAGTTCAAAATACTTTTTAAATATTGTCCAGCATCGAAGATGAAACAAAGTGCTTCTAGTGCTTGTAGTTTTTTTTTTTTTTTTTAAATTTTTTAGCGGAGCAGTATTGAATGAATTTATGAAGGTATTTTTATCTTCTTTTCTGCATTTGCTCTTAACTTTTGTCTATCAGCTACTAATGATTATGAAAATTGTGCTTAATTCGTGAAATGTATTGCATTCTGACTGAAATTTTTAGAAAAAAAAGTTTATATACAATGGTTTGGTTATTGACGACTTATTTTTTGTATGATGCAGTAATATGGAAATCGGAGTATTGTGAGCTTTTCTTCTGCAACTTACAAAAGTGTTAAAAGTTTTTTGCATTTTGACTCATGTTTGACAGTGACAAAGATCATTTATTAAAAATGGTGGGTGATTTGCCGTTATAGATTTCATTTTGCTTCTCATTTATTTTCAAGTTTTTTGGTCTTCAAAAGTATTCAGCGACAAGTTATGAATTTCGGATTCTAACTACTAAGTTCTGAGGAATTTGTGACTGCTGTTCAGAACATCGATTGGAGGGCAGTGATGTGTATTTGTTTAATTTCGATTTATATTTGCTATAGGTTTATTCAGCAGTGTGTTTACGAAGTATATTTGCTTTTTGACGTTGTGTAGTCGTTAAATGCAACTTCACTTCGAAGCACTTACTATGCACTAATATTTAGATTCATAGTGTTTATATGCCTTCGTTTCCGTACATTTCGTTAAGTCTATGAATATAGGTAAAATATGAATGGTGGTTTATTTTTATTTTTTTCATCATTCAGAAAACGGGATTCAGCGGTCACTGTAGAAAAGTACATGTCGATGAGATCGAGTTGAAAATTGTTCTGGCTGAAATCTCTTGCAAGTGAAATGAATGGGATCAAAACTGATTTAATGAGTCACACATAACAGTTTTTATCAGGCACTAGGTACTTCGAAGATATTCGTTTTTCACGTCAGGATGACTTCTTTGCTGTCGTCATTCAAAGCATTGGTATATGCGTCTAGTTTTTAAAGAGTAGACAAATTTAGCATTCTTGGTGTGTTTTTAATTATTTCGGTTCTGAAATAATAGTTGCTCAGAATTAGACAAAACATCGGCTTAAAGTGAATGCATAGTAGAGTTTGGCCTGAAAGAGTTGGTGAACTAAGGTAATTATTTCTAATTACTATTTGCCGTACTTTGCGTCAGAAATAATATTCTACTAAGTATTAAGGCATTAAAAATTGTGAGTGATTGCTCACTGAAGCATCATTTTTTTAAATGCAACAAGTATTTTAACACCTGAATCAAAATTAACGAAGTATCTTATTCAGTTCAGTAATTGTGAATTATTGTTTTAAACTTTGGAATTATTTCGGACTTGATTATTTCCAACAGTGCTTCTTGCTTACTTAACTGTCAATGCGAATTTTAGTCTAAGGGGCAGTATCATTAAATTATGTTGCTTTTGAAATGAAGCGCAAAGGGGTAAAAATTTCATGAATGCCTGAAATCAGTAATTAATTTTACCTTGAAGGACCATATTTAGTAGTAAAACTTTCTTTTCTCATTACTGAAGGGAGGGTACGAAAACGGCAACATATTATTTCTCGAATTGGAATACGAAACTCACGATTATATTTGCAATAAATTAGTGGATTTAGCAAGCTGGAAATAATATAGATTTCTCAGAATGATATAATTGAAATCAAAAGGTTACAAGTCTTTTCAAGTTATAATATATTTTCACAGTAACTAACTGCATCATCATAATAATAGACTTATTTATTAATTCAATATTCGACTGCATAAAGTTAACAGTAAATTATAGTAATGAGCAAACCTGTTTGAATATCCTAACCAAAGGGTTAAATGATCTAACCAATTTGGTGGTAGTAGTCCCTGAGGTTTCAAAAGTGCCAATAAAAAAAATGGCAACCAGCATATTACAAAGACGCTCATCATTATTCCAAGTGTTTTGCGTGCTTTACCCTCACCTTTGTCTTGAACTTTAAGCGCATGTATCTGGAACAGTGATGAATTCATTAAATTAGGAAAGTGAAAATCATAACTTCTTTAAACCTTACAATTAAACTCGCAAAATCGCAATAAGCATTGCTTTGCTTGAACTACTAGTTAATTATAATATGTCGTGGAAATGGCAAAGTGCCTTTCTACTATAAACAAGTTATATTTTTCTTTACGACGCCATCAAAACAGCTTTGATGTATATTCTATATTTTCATGGTCAAATCTGGCTATAAAACTCATCAAATATGGAATTATTTGCTATAGATAAAAAGAAGTCTGAATTCTGAAAAATTCCTAGAGAAAGATCAGTTTTCATAAATCATAAATTTGTTTAATTTCATTTCGGATAATAGCGCACTTTACATTTTTTTCAGAAACTAATAGCAAAAATATCTTTTATTTATTGCAAATTTATTAAATAATTTCAATTCGGACATTTAGTTTTTGATTATTTTCGAAAGGTTTGATAGGGTTTTGAAATGCGAGCAATATATGGATTTAGAGATGTTACTGAATTATTTATCTAGTAATTCTTAATCAAAAATAATTCACTGCAAGCCAGAAGCTAAAAAGCTTGTAATAATTTTAAATTTTGAGAAAAAAAAACTTGAGCTCAAGCGAAAAAAGGCGGGCTTAAGCTTATGGAATTATTTTTGGGCAAGCTTTTTGATGACTACCTGCAATTTTCGTTTCAGAATGAATTAATTATTTTTGGTCTAAAGTGTAAGTATGTTGGTTTGTTACTTTTAAATTATTTTAATTCAGGTCTTTTTAAGTTTTGTTTTGATATAAATCAGAAATAAAGAAACAAGTAGACTATGCTCCATTCATCAAATATTTGAAAGATAAGTATACCCAAGCGGCAAAAAATTGTCAAGAATTTAGATCTCTCAATTTAACCAATTTTTGTCGTAAAGGCAGTATTCTTAAGCTTACTATTATTTATCTACGTATATTCTCGAATATATAACAGCACTAAATAAATTGACTTGTTTTTTATCACTTATCGTACCAATTTAGTCTAAGTTGCATGATGATGACCTTTAATTTCGGCATTTTTTATGATTATGTACTGCTTCATATCAAGTCTTGGTGTTGTCAATACAAGCATTATCATTTTCATTATTAGTTTTCAGTATTACTATCTGCAGTAGCAATGCTGTTGAAAATTAAATTAGAAATCTGAAAGAAATTCTTTATAATTTTTTTGTAAGAAAATCGATACAAAACTAACCATCTGAATTTTAGATTAATTTAAAGTGCAATAATCAATATATTACGGAATTGTGTAGTCAAGTTGTTTGAATGCATTTATAAATGCCAAAATAATTAATTGGAAGTACTATCAATGCAATCGTATTGTTTGACAATACGATGGAAGAATGGTACTTCAAAGGTTTCTTGACGTTCAGTTGCTGATTTAAGTTTGTCATATAACTTGCTAACAAAGTAAATGAACCAAATTTTAACAAGAATAATAGAAGACCTCTCAAATATAAAAAATCATCAAATTAATCAAATCTAACTCATAAAGTGACAGAAATATCAAATGTATTTCTATGTTGCTTTGCACATTTTCAGTACTTTTCTTGGTTTGATAGAGAAAAAAAAGTATTGTACCAAACGTAATTTTTGTAATATAGCTGATGGACGCTGTTGGCGACGTTGATCTTGATGCGCTGAATCATTTAAATGCACTGAATTATGCTCTTCTACAAGATTACTACTCTCTGAAATATTTCCATTTGTTTCCATTTGAATCATTCGATCTCGCTGAGCTAATCGCTTAGCAGCTAACCATATTTTGGCGTACAATATTATCATAATACATGTCGGACCGTAAAATGCAATTATTGTGGCATAAATTTGATAAACTGGGTTTTGATTCACCTAAAAATTTATTCAGCAAAGTGATGAGAGCAACTTTTATTCTGCTGAGTTTTAAACCTAATATAAATATCATGTTATTAAAATTTGAATTATCATTTTTTTAATTAAAAAGGACACTTGGTGATCTTACATAAAAATACTCAATTTTTATATTTATTTATATAATTTAGAAATCCAAATCTTTCCAATTATTATTAAAAAATGTTATTAAAAACTGATACTGAAATTTCAATTTTTAGTGTAATTAATTTAATTTAAAAGTACTTTTTTATGTGCAAAACTAAGATATGAAATATTAATTTGACAGATTGTAGTTCAGAAGTTAGTAAAGTAATATAATTCCGTAAACATAAAATAGATTTCTTTTTTATTATATGCACTATCACTTATCAATGATTTTTAAAAGATTGCTAGTACTGATAATCATTCTTGCAAATATTATAAACAATTTCGTTGGATTTTTCATAAAAATCAAGAAGTTCGAAAGCATTTACGATTTTAAATAAAAGCATTCTTTCCACATTTCTTGTGCGAATTCCAAGAAATTTCCTTTTATGATTTGATATTATATTTTTCAATATGCTCAGCATGTAATGATAGTTACTTTTTTCAAATGTAGCTAACAAAGTATAAAATTACTGGATAACATAATTCTTGTTGTAAATCAAATTTTGAAACTTTCACCAATGTCTCACAGTAATATTATTAATGTTATTTATTTTTGAAGTATTTTTTTTGCACAGATTACTTTTATTGTTCAAAATCATTTTTTAAAATGATTTGTATTGGTATCAGTAAAGCACAAATGAAGTAATTATTATATACAAGAATGCCATGAAATGGCTGCAAATGACATCTGTAGCTAAAACATTTCCAGTTTTTGTTCCTTTTTTCACATATCGCAATTATGCAAAGTTTAAAAATTGATTAAAACGAAGTATAGTCTGAAGTCATTATCAACTGAACTGAAACAAAATTGGAAAAATTTGTAACTGCTATTTTTTTATTAACAAATAATGCTTTTTGAATTTTTTTATGGTAACATGTTAGCAATGGTGCAGTCAAGTTCTTCATCTTATATAAAAAATAATAATAGAGTTAGGTCCCAAAATTTTTTGGCATATTTAAAAAGACAAACAGACTTAGTCATAAAACGTTTTCTATTTTTGCACTTTTTAAAAATAAACAAAGAAGAAAAGTAGCTCACTTGACATTTTCCTTCCACACTATTTACAGGCCAAACAACAATTGGAGATATGCTAACAATAAAAGATAAAATCCAGACAAGCATCACATAGCAAAGTATACGTTGCCGTGTACGTTGGGCTGCATACCGCAACGGACGACTCACTGCACAATACCGATCAACACTTATCATACACAAATTTACAATCGAAGCTGTACAAAGGGTTAAATCAGCTGATGTCCAAAATCTGCACACCTACAATTAGTAGCTATCAAAAAACCTTGAAAAAGTTTTAATTCAAAATTTTATAAGCCTAAGAAAGAACGTAGCATAAATTTTACCATTTCGACGGATTTTTTGCAGTTTTTTTTTTCACTGAAAAAAATTAGTCGACATTTAAAACAGCAATATGAAAGTAAATGATTTCTGCATTGATAAATTTTAACATTGGTTATTTTTTGCTTTAAGAAATATTACCATTGTTAATAAAAATAAATTTAACGTATTTATTTCTTTTCAGTTATAAAAAGAATCAATAAAGTAGATTTAAATTCATTAGAATCAAAATTGATTAACGGATTTTAGCAATAAATTAATTATTAGAATAAAATAGAAGAAGAAAAAAACTCTGACCATTCCACCAAGAATCCATTGATCAGTGAGTAAGTCAATTAATGCAATAGGCATTACAAGCAGACCCACGCAAAAATCAGCGACTGCTAGGGAAACAAGCAAGTAATTGGATGGTTGAGATTTCATTTTTCTTACTAGTAATACAGCCATAATTATTAATGAATTGCCAATTAATGTTGCAACAATCATTACACCAATTAATAAGCATATAATAGCGATTATTGCTATATGTTTCAATGATTCTAGCTTGCTAATTGTATGTACATTATTAAAACCACTAATTATTGAGGACGCTATTGTTGGCGGTGGTAACGTATTAATGAGATCGAATACAGCTGATAGTGATGATGACATTGTTGCCATGATTTAATTCATTCCTTCTGTTTTTTATTTTCAATTTCAATTGATGTAAGTACTGCGAATTACAGTAGTGAATACATCCCTCAAATTTTTCTATCATTAATATTATTTATAATGTAATTAGTCATTACCATTATTGGTAATGATACTGGTGATATTTAATTAGTGAAATAAAAAACAAAATATTATGTTATAAAGATCATTGATATGAAGAATACTTTCAATTGCATCAGTCCTAAACGAATATCACTTGAAATAATTTTTTTACTTAACATATAAAAAGGCGTTTTTTCATTGACAAATTAAGAAACAGAAAAATGAAATTTATGAAAACCTAAAAAATTAACTCGTCGGAATATCACTCAAATTCTTGTAATTTTGAAACCTTCCAGCTGCAGTTATTAATTAGAAATTTCTATTTTTATCAAAATAATAACTGTCTTCTCTAAATTTACTGATACTTGCTTGCAGCTGCACTGAACTTATAATTCACTGTCAAGTAGAAAATAACTGTTGCTATGAATGAACCATAATTAAAATTTTATCATATTTTAATTTTCAAACAAATTCATACTATAATTCGCTGCTTGAAATATCAAAGTTTGAGAAAAACTTCCGATTACAACTTCCTGAAAAAAAATGACCCTTAGTAAAAGATAAAAGCAAAAAGTATTTGCAATTTAAAATTAAATACGTAATGAGATGTTTTAAGTTCTAAATTTGTTTTCTAATTTATCAATGCATAACACATTTTATTGTTAGATAAGCATCTAGAAAAATATTCAAACATTTGACTAGCAATTAAAAAAACATTTATAACAAACATATGGAACCACAAAAGGAATTAAAAAATTTTTGTTTACATATTTTCAGCCAAAAAAGTTATAGTTTTGTAGAGTTTATTTTCATTATTGCTAACTTTTTAGTGCTATCTACTTTGTGACTACAATAATAATAAATAATAATAATGAATAAAGTTATTGCATTGAGTTGATGATAATTAACCAACCTTCTTCAGTAGCAAATCAATCCATTGCTAAAATTTTTTGAATTGATATATTTGGTACGAGCATTCCATTCATTGTAAAAAGTGTAATTGTACTGAATTATCTGACTACATAAATAAAACATTCGTAAATTCACATACCACTTTTTATCAGCTATATATTTGCGTGAATAGTCGAGAGTTAAATAAAGAAAGGCACATTTTATTAAGTTTCGCACTATGATCAGATTACAAACAGATAATAAGTGGATAATAAGTATAATGAGTAATAGAAGCAAACAAAAAAACCCATAAGCTTTCTTTCATTCTAAAATTGATACTGATTCAGCATAACATTTATGTAATTTTAAATCAAAAATAGGTGCGTAATGATTTGATTATTTTCAATCATTTTATGAACAGAAAATTTACTTGAAAACTTCATGTTAGTAAAGGAAATGATGCTTCAAATTGATGCAAACAATCAATTACGATGCATAAAAATTTCAAACATAACTTTCATTGTAGAAAATGCAGTCAAAAAATAATAATTTATTCAAATAAAAAAGCATTCAGCTATAGCAAAACCAACTTTTTCATAAGATACAAACCGCTATAATAAAATAGGAGCAAAATTAATCTTTTTAATCATAATTTATAACTGCGTACAATTTAAAAAGCATTACATCAAATTATTTTTAATGATCGACAGTAAGTACTAGACGAATAATGTAAACTCAATTTAATAAATAAATTGTATGAAATTCTATTTAAAATAAATGCCGTCATGATTCATTTATTTTATAGCGGCATGTATTTCAATTAGTTGTAATATGCTTTAATTTTTTTTAATAAATAATTTATAAAAACGTAAATTTTTTTCTCTTAATTTGAATGTAAATTGTTAATAATACATGTTTAACTGAAACATGTAAAAAAAAATTAAACTAATTAATTGCTAATTGCTTATTGAGTTCTTTAAATCATATTTGCTTAATGTGATAAAAATTGAAAAAATAACAAAAGAAGAATTTATTAGAAATTATTCCAAAGATTCCTTTCATCATCCATCTAATCAGTTGCTGTAATAATGCTTAGATTGTTAATCAGAAAATGAAGAAAGTGAATTAAATGAAAAATGATCAAAGAAATGAAGCAAGATGGAATAAAGGCATGAATCCCAGGATTATTTGTCTATCACTTCTCCAAGCGCATGATGTTTATGCATTTAATTCATCCGTCAGCTGTGATGTGCATTGGTAAGGAAGAAAATTTTCAAGTGAATGATGCAAGACAGAACGAAAGAAATTACAACTTTGGCATTAGTATACATAAATAGCCATTGATAATTCTATTTATGCACAGAGGCACTCTTACGTTCATATTGATCCCAAAAATATTACAAAATTAATTAAAATTTTTTGAAAAACTTATAAGGGAGTTAACAATAAGCAACATTTTATTCTATTAATCTTAAAAAAAGAGAGTAAGTAATTGAAAAATGACTTAATTTAATAATTTGTTACATTTCTGGCAAGAATTACAAAATTGATTAAATGCACAATATTTATCTTCATAAATAGTTATTTGCACTATTAATCATTTTTTACTTCTTTGAGATGTAATGCTGCAAATAATCGGTTTAATTTTACGATATCAATCGATTTAATTACATGATTAGCTAATTAATATATTGTCACTGGATATTAATATATTTAGCAAATATGTCATGAGAAGTGTGTCAAGAACAATTTTTTTCAAAACACTACAGATTAAGTACTTGGTATCACTTAAATATTTAGCACTACTTATTTGTGACCTGATCATGTGCATACATGTAATTGAGATATCGTAAAATGTAAATTAAGATGAAATATACTTTGCTAAAAATTGAAAGCAATTTTGAGATATCATGGATATTATTTACGTATTTGCTAAAAATAAGTAAGCAAAATTTGCACACGGCAAATAAAATTTTATCATCCTGCCCTTATAACATGGGTTATTTGCAAAAAAAAAAGAAAAAGGAAAAAAAATGTGTATCACGTGCAGCATTTCAGTTGAATCCTTTACAAAATATTTCATATCTATTTCAAACTCCTATTACTTGTTAAAGCAATTAGTAATCGTAGTAAAATTTTACATTGTTCTTACTAATGCGATGCTAGTTGTTAAAGTGACAACAAATCACAAATAGTTGTTCAAAAATCTTAGGAAAATATAAAATACATTTTTTAAAATATTCTGGAACATTTCAAATGATCAAATAATTTCTTTCTGAGGTTTTCATTTCATACGAAAATTTAAAATCTAAAAAATATTTGTAACAAAGACTGTAATAGCACTAACTAAACTCAACTTATGCAACCAAATAAAAAACATTTAAATTAATAATTTATGTGATGAAAACAAATGTCAAAAAGTTGCTCAACGAAAACCAAATAAATATTTTTTGACTACAGAATTGAAGCAATTCTCATTAATAAAAGCAAGCTAATATGGTGGTATTATGCGCTGTGCAAAAATAAACAAATCAGTAATAAGCAAGAAAAAAGAGTAACTAATAAAATATGAGTTATAACTTTACGATTTCAATTGAATTGTATATTTGATCTCGAAAAAGAAAGCCAAAAAAATGGAAAACAAATAAAATTTATAAGTACATTTTTTTATGTATTTTGATAGCTTCAAACTGGCATGTGTTCAGCGAAAAGATGAAATCAAATAATTTGAATTTTTTATGCATAATTGCTTTATTGCAATTAAACCTTAGCAGCTTGCCATAAATAAAGACATCATTTCAAATCGTTCATATCATTTGTTATCAGAGTATAATTTTTTATCACTACATAGGCAGTTATTTTGCATTCCATTGTTGTTGTGTTTATTTTCAGAAGTTAAAATTTATTCTTTAAACATTCAATAGTCAAATCTGATAACACTGTTTGTAAAATTGCTGTTCAATATAATTTAATTCTAAAAAAAGTTAGAGCACATTTGACAGATTGATTCTACTATTCTTGATCAAATTTTTTTAATTCTTTCATAGTAACAGCAAATTGAAGTAAATTAGTTTCTGATATTTAACATTTCTTCCATTTCATTCGGTAGTAAAATGCTTGTATATACATTGCTAGAGACTTTCTCATTAAAAGTTAGTGTAAGAAATGAAAAAAATGTGTTTTCTATGCAAAACTTTCACCTGTTTATCACTGATTATTTGCTTGTTGGAGTAACTAAGTAAAGTTTAGAACAAGCAGTTAATTTGTTAATCACAAAAACTGAATTAAAGAGAACTTAAAATGCGTGTAATTCACTCTAATTCTACTAAAAAATGCCAAAATTTCAAAGTTTGATATGAATTCTGAATTTTATAGAGTTTTATGCCTCATCAGCTACTTTATTTATGATATTCTCTTAAAATCCCGCAAAAAGCGTTCTAATTTAAAAATGAAATATTACAAAGAAATTGACAGTTAAAAATTGCATTGTTAAAAGCAATCATTTTTTTTGTAAAGCGTCATTTGTTACAAGCAATTTAGCACACAAGCATCTTCATCGTTTTTATGAATAACCTTACAAATAAGCTATCTCATTTGCAGAGGCAAATGAGATTAATACATTTAAATATATTAACGATGATTATATATTATAGATAAAAGGTAAAAGATGCGTGTAGCTAAAGATCTAATGAAATTTTTATCCAATTTTCAAAATTAAGAACTTTATTATGGATTGAAAATGACCATTAATTAGCAATGCAAATTTAATTTCCTTAGTAGTTTTTATCGATAAGTTTTACATCAACTAAAATTGTCCTTTTTTATTCACAATTAATAAGATTATTTTAACTAGAAGAAAAAATATATCACAAGAAAAAGATGCTGTAAGAAAAAATTTGCATAAAATCAAGAAAATGCAATATTTGAACCCCAAAGAAAGAGTATGGAAGAAAAAAACTCACTGACTTTAAATATAAAAATGTAGCAATAGCAAATAAATAAATAAG